CTCTCTGTCTGCACTTGAAGCAGAGCGGATTGGTTTTGCTAGACACTGTTATCCTTATTACTTTACCCTCCTGCGAAAAGAACCATTCGTCCGGTACGAAAGGCATCGGGCTGTCTCCTGTCTCCAGTATTGCGGTCATCTGGTTATGATGGTGTGTGAGGAAATCCGGCGTTGAGACTATCCAGTGTCTTTGTGTGAAGTGGCCATATTCCATTCTTACCCTTTCTTTGACACTACCATGCATTCCCTCTGGGACGTCATCAAATTGGATCCAGAAGTGTCTTTTGATGAGATCCTGTCTGTACCTGAACGGGGTTTGCTGTAAATTTGCTGCTTTTTTCCACGGGTGCACAGTGACCACTGATGAATTACATGTGAAACATTTGTTCTTCAGGAAGGATGCCAGTTGTTCCTCCATGCACAGCACCATGATAACGTTTCTCGTCCTCGGGTGAAACGAGACTTTGGGTTCCTGCCCCTGGATTGGCTCCAAACTCTTCAACTTTTCCCATATCCATTTAGCTCGGACTGTCTGTCGAGTTCCTGACTTTTTTTGGAAAATGTGAAGAGCACAGCGTGTTTTTGATGGATCTCTTCTTGTTTCGACGTCAGCTCTTTCGGGCATTCGTAGATAACAACCTCTTCTTTGTTGTTTTCCCCATGATCGATGCATTTGGTGGTCTTCACCAGCGGGGTTCTGGTCTGTTCCGCCAGCCAGTTTTGAGTCTACATGCCCATTCCTTCCATCTTAGTGTTTCGAGAAAAAAAAAAAAAAAAAAAAAAAAACCCTTTGGCAGTCTGATTTTGGTGAACGAGAGGCGAGATCTGTTCTGAAGTTCAGATCAAAGTACTTTCCCGGGTGTCTACGCTTTTTGTTCGATATGCTGATGTTCTAGGTATAGACCGTTTGTCAGGAGTTGGTGCGTGCCAACGGGGTTGGGAATGGTGCAACCCTCGAGTAGTAGTCCGAGCTCGCGATAGGATTCAGGGGATGGATCTGAGTGGATTGGTGCAGCCCTCGAGTAGCAATCCGAGCTCGCGATGGGATTCAGAGGATGGATCTGAGTGGATTAGGCTCTGGGGTGGAGACTGGAACGGAGGCAAGAGCGGGGTCAGGTACAAGAACGGGATCGATAGTGTGGTGGGCGACGGGGAAGAGTAGTGGTTGCGAGATCTGGAACGGGAGTGGGAGATCACCGGGGTTGGGAGAAAGCAGGTATGGGAGCGTCACGGGGGCGGCGAAGTGGTAGGGGTGGGAAGATACGGGAGTTGCTACGGGGGGTGAGGATATGACGGGAATGGGGCGGGGAGAGGGGATAGTGGGTTCTGAAGGTGGGGACTGTCTATTTGGATTGGAAGGGGCAGTTGGGGTGCGGGTGTAATCGAGTTGGAGTGGGCTGTGAAATGGCGGAAGGRGCGTGGTCTATAGCRGGARCAGGATCGAGGTGGGGAGGGGACAGGGGATGAGGTGGGGGTCAGGGATGGTAGGAGAATGAGGGTGAGAGCTGATGCAAGTGAGGCGAGCTCCGTACAGTGTTGTCTTTGCCACGGGTTGGAGAAGGGATGGGGCTGGACTCGAAATAAGGGAGGATTTCGAGTCTGTGGTGAGCTTCAGAATCGGGACCAGGGACGGGATCGGGGATGGGGAGAGTGGCGGAGGGGGAGATAGTGGGGAGGAGATATGGGGGGAAATAAAGGGGTAATACAGGGACCGGGTTGGGAGCTGCATCGGGGGTGGCGAGATCTCAATAGTTGTAAACCGCCTTTGTAGGGTTATATTGAACCTCGTTGGATCGAGAGTGTTGCGGGGGGTGGGGAGGTAAAAAGGGGCTTTCGGCCTCTATCTGAGCTTGGGTGAGAGATAGAGCGGGTATGGGAGTGCAGTGGGCTCGGAGGAGAAGTCTGGAGCGGTGGTGAGAAGGGGGATAACTAGGGGGACGGAAGCTGGGGTGGGGGCGAGAGCGGGGGAGGAGGCTGGGACAGGGGTATGCGCGATGCGGTGGTCTGGCCGGGTGTCGAGGCAGTTCGATTTTATGTTGAAATCATAATGATGGTTGCAGTGCTAGCAATAATAGGGGCACTAATATGTAAAGCAATATAATTAAATCCCGTAGTTAAAATGAATAATAATAAATGATGGATAATAATGAATAATGAATAATAACGAAGAATGATTAAACAATGACAATAATAGTAAAGATAATACTGTGAGGGGGGGCGCGGGGCGGGAGCGGGGCGTAGGAGGATCGTGATTTGGGGACGGGGTGGAGTCGTGGTGGTCTGTAGTCCGGACGGGCTGTTGTAAGTGCGAGCCGGGGCTCATTCATGTGTTCGTGGGAATCGGGGGGTGTAGTTGGGGCGGGCGCGGGGTTGGGGTTGAAGAGTGCGTCGGTCGAGGTGGTAGTGGGATGGGCAATGGATTATGAAGAGCGCTGGATCAGATGGGGGATGGGTTTCGGGGTGGGTAGAGCCGTGAACGTGGATGTGACGGATTCAGGTTGGATTTTGGACCGTATTAGGGTGGGGACGTGGTGTTTGGTGAGATCGRGGTATAAATGGGATGTGGTGTCGAAGCGGGGTGTGAGGTGTTGGTGGGAACGACRTGGTGGGKAAGGGTTTGAGGCRGACCCCGGATGGGAGGRWGGGTAGTTGGTGTTCCAGATTAGATTAGTGCGGGGGCCGTGAGATTAGTAGTTCGGTACCAAGAGTGTTTTAGGCGAGAGATACATCCACAGTGTCGGGGAAGGAGGTGAAATAAATGCCTGTGCTTGAACRTGTCTYCCGATCCAATTCAGGTTGTGAGCCCTGTCGTTCAGGGAGTGTGGAGAATTCKCGTCGCCCGATGGTGATAAGTAGCATTCCAACTATTTGAGTCACTCTCGTCGACTCTTCCTTCGCCTTCTTTACTTCCTCCTGTCCTCCGTTCTCTTCTCCTTGTCGTCTTCCYTGACTTGTTGGGGACRTTGGCGCACACTGTGGCCTTCTGTCTYATCTGGACCCCACGATTCCACAAGATGTTCGCGTTRCCCTCCCTCTTCACTTGCCTGAAATAGCTTACTTGTCGTTTTCAGGCTCTACTCCTTCCTCACTTCACTTCTCTCATTATTCGCCCTTGTCCCTTCTTCCCTCTCGTCACCTTTTGCTCACCGCCTCCTCGACTTGGCCTCGCTCACCGAATTATGCGCCCTTTCGAATGCTCCCCTTCTCCTTGTCCAGTTGGTGTTTGGGGTTTGTCCGGTGTAGATGAATRSAGCGCATATCATGATGGCAGTCTCCGGCGGCTATGGCTCTCTCCCGCCACGCCCGCGGGCGTGGCTGAACTTTCCCTACTTCGCTGCCAGGTGCGGGCAGAATTCGAATGCTGAATGAGTTTGGCGTGATCGCCGTGTCCGGCGCGAAACGTCGCGGTAGAGCTCCTGGGAGTCCCCGAGCGCTGAACTGCGTTAGCGCTAACCTTCGGCGCTTCCAAACTTGAAATCCTACATTCCATAAATCTGAAGTTCGTTTTCTCTTTTCTAAGTTTTCTTTTTTATTCTTACAAAAAAAGGTCTATTTTCAACAGTGTGTGTGGCTGTATTAACTGAGCTCTGCGCATTGGTCCTGTTCGCGGCCAAATTTCAGATTGGCCCACAATCTGGGTCATACGTATGACGGACGGCCCAGATCATGGGTCAATCTCAAATTTTGTGATCGGCTTGCTATCTGAGCCGTTTGCACACATGCTCAGCCTTCGATCTGAGCCATTTGCATCCACGATCAGCTTGCATTCTGAGCCATTCCTTATGCACCAAAGGTTAACAGGGACCCCCACTATTCAGCCCCAAGGTAACACCCCCAACCCTGAAAAGTGCATTGGAGATCATTTTTTCCAGTTTTTTTTGTTTTTTTTTTTGCCCTGTTTTATTTTTGGTCAAGGTCTGTGTGTGCCAAGTTTGGTGTTTGTTGGGGTCTTGGAGTTCACTGTTTTGGCCAGCCCTGATAAATCCTGAAAATCCTGAAAACTGAAAAGAGTGAATTTTGCATGAAAACACACTTTTGCCTTAGGGTTTAAGGCCCTTTT